TGTGTGTATATAAATACCCCCAAATGATATTAATACAACATAAGGCCAGCAAGCATATAAATTTAAATAAAAATCTTAAATAAAAATATATTCCCCATAAAATCATCAAAATGAATAAAATTAATAAAAATAAATATGAAAGAAATAAAAATAAAATAAAAAGAAAAATAAAAAATAAAAAATAAAAAAGATAGAAAAGAAAAAAAGAAAAATTAACTATTACATGAAAATTAAATGCAATTGATAAAAATATTATATTATATTACTCTACTTATAGATTCAACAGTAGTATGCATAAATAAATAAATAAATAAATAAATAAATAAATAATAATTAACTAATTGATAATTAAAATAAAATTCGAATTGATAAATATAATATTACTCTGCTTATAAAAGTAGGTATATCGCCAATTAATGTAAGCGTAGAAGTATCCGTGGTTAGATATACATAAAATAAAACTTAAAAAGTCGATGATAAATATAATTTATTTATTAAAAATAATAATTTCAATAATAAGTATATTAGGAGGAAGTTATTATTTATATAAAAGTTTAGTAACTGGAGTGCAAGGAACGTATTTATATGAAACTTATATATATGATTACATAATAAAATTTATATATAATACGCCAAAATCTCCAAGTGAATCAATAACAGAAAATAGTACAAATTTTTTTAATTCCATTAAAATAAATAGTGCCTTAGAAACTAAAGATTTAGTCGAATCTAATCAAACAGAACCGATTTCTGAAATCATAGAAAGCTCTTCTGAAAATACAGTTGCGGAACCTAGTTTTATCCAAAAATGAGGTAAATGAATACTTATAGGAGTATTGGCGGGAGGTGTAATAATCTTAGTATATAAATACTATCCGTTTTTTACCCCAGACACGAATATACCAGGCACACCGAAAACAGATTTAACATCAATGCCAGGTTCATCCAAATCTGAATCTACAGCAATGCCAGATTCTTCTAGCAGTTCTAGTAGTGGAAGTAGTGATGTAGGATCCGGCGATGATATTTTAGAAAATCCAAGTGAATTAACTAATGGTAATAATTCAGTAGAACGTTCTTACGTAGGAGCTGAAATACAGACAGATCTCCTAACTAAAGAAGTAGGAACTCAAACAACAGTAAACCCAATAGCTGAAGTACCAGTAGGTGATTTAATCAATTTAAGTGGAGAAGTAGCTGAAGATACAGGAGATCCCTTTACAAGACAGCCTATTGAAACGGGTAACGAAGAAGCGATAAGTGGAAGTACATCAGTACCTAGAAGTTCCAGTGAATTACCTTCGACGTCCTACAGACTCTAGCTCCAGTGGGTCAGGTAACGAAGTAATTCGATCGAGTACAAGAAGTCGAGTTATAAAAATACTAAATTATAAAGATTAGTTATTCATTTTTAAATTATACCCCCTCCCGGATCCTATCTATTAAAGATAAGTGCGGACCATATAAAAGTGTCATTGATGACAATGAAAATAAAAATAAATTTAAACTTTAATAATGAAGGGGAAGCTATAAAACCTACAAAAATACATCATTTTCTTATGTGAAACATCAATTTTAGAATAGAAGATGGAAATAATATATATTTACTAAAATCTCTTTGAATTGATATGAAATATAAAAGATTAAGAAGTAATGGATATAACACAGAAAATGTATTGCATATAAATTATCTAGAAAATGAAGAACGTAGTCATATAAAAATTATACGAGAATTCGTAAAAAAAGTTGACGAACTGGAATATAAAATAGAATCTATCGATCAGATATTTTTAGAATTGCAATATTATGCATACAACAAGTGTAAATAGTTAAATTCCCCTTTGCATAATACATAACTCAATTGGTAGAGTAGCTCCTTTTTTTAATAGTTTTAAATAGGAGAAGGTTAATGGTTCGAGTCCATTTGCATTAATGAACAAGAATATATTGTTCACTCGTTAATTAAATTGTTTTATCTTATTATTTTTAAATTATACCCCCCTCCGCACCCGGATCATCTTCTATTAAAGATTAAAAATGCGTTGTTTTAAATAACCGCGGACCGGAGTCTGTAAAATATTTTATACAATATAAAAGTAGCGATGAGAAAAATTTATGTATTATTTGGGGAAATTTGTAATAAATTGTATTTAATTGTAAATAAAATTAAAACTGTAAGCTTAAAAGCTTTATTATTAAATATTTTAAGTATTATTTTCTTATTATTATTATTTTATTATTCTATATCTTATATAAGAGACTTAACATTACCTGTAATTTTAGGTATGTTATTTACTTTCACAGTATCTTTCTTAATATCAGATCATGTATTTGATAGCTTTAAATATTCAGAAAATAAAGTTATCAGAATGATACAAGATTGAATTATTCATACTATTATGATAGCTATCATAATTATTTTATTATTAATAATATGTTACTATTTCGATATAAATATCTTTCAAGTAATTTTATGTGAACCTGAAGCTGGTGAAAGTGTTACTAGCAGTAGTAGTAGTAGTAGTTCAAGTACTGCAATTATAACTGAAAATGTTAGTATAAAAACTGAAACAACTGATACTGGTAAAGGAGTATATCATTTGTCAATCGATAAATCAACTGCTGATGGAGCAGTTGGAGCAATGATTAATGGATTAACATCTGCAATAGATACAGTTTTACCTAGTCTAGGTATTGCTAGTGCTGCTGGAAGTGTTGCTAAAGCTGTTGCTAAAAATACAGGCGGTATGGCTCCTATACCAAGAATAGGTTTACTTGCAGGAACTGCTTTCGCAACAGGTGTTTCTACATATGCTGGTATAGGAGTAGGTAAAGCTCTTGTGAAAAATGCCACATTACAATCTGGAACTAGCTCTCAACATACCGATGGAATACCTGATCCCGATAATTTTACGATTAATAGTCCGTTAGAATCAGATGATTCTATAGCTCCTTTAGAAACACTATTAGACGGTATATTTACATTTAACTGAGTAGAATTAATGGTATTTATGTTATTATGAATAGTAGTATTCGATAGATTTTTCTATAAAATTAATACAGAAAAATCACTTATTATTATTAATAAAGTAATGCCAGCAAAATTTATAGATTGATATAAAAAATTTACTGAAAAAAGTATTGCATTTAATGATAAGTATACAACTATTATGTTTATAATATTAGGTATATTATTTATTTTAATAAAACTAGGAAATATATTTATTACTTATGAATTAAGTACAAACACGATCGATTATGTCGAAGTATATAATCAAATAAAAAATATTACTAACAATTAGATACAATTTATTTTAATTAAAAAATAAAAATTCCCTGCCTGCTAGTTTTAAAAGTGGCACGTGGAGTTTACAATAAAATAAATTATTTATGTGTAACTATCTGTCATACATAAAGTAGCAATATGTCATACATAAAAGTAGCATGAGCACTAAATATTTTACACTTGAAATACAGGGTGGAAGTGACGATAAAAGTATCAAATGAAGTATAACTAAATTTATTACAAATAAATTCAATGAAATGAAGTCCGTTGAAACAATTGTAATAAGTGGCATAAGAATAAGAATTCTCAATATTGAAGAGGGTGTGAAAAAATATAAAACAATTATCAAATATGATAACGAAGCTAAATTCTACTTAGATAGAATAATACCCTCATTCTATGAGAATTTAGATAAAAAATCTTTAAAGTTATCACAGATAGAAAAAGTATTTATGACAATACAATTTAATTTTAGAATCTCCACCTACTAGAAATATGCTATACATATTTCCTCGTATGTAAACTATAATAACTTATGAATATCTCCTCCAATAAGGAGATTAAAGGTTAAAATCCTTTTTTATTAAAATAAAAAATATTCAACGGTAGTTTGTTGTAAAGGTAACATACAAGTCTCATCATCTTGTGATTTAGGTTCAAATCCTAAGACTGCCTTAGTCAATCTTTTCCATTGCAATTTTGTTTAATTTTTTTATTAATTAATTATCTTTAATATCATAAAGAGATAAATATTAAAAATAATAATTTAAAACAATGATATTAACATTAAAAATATTTATTAAACTACTTACAGTAGTTTACAATTCAATTAATAAATTCGGCGCTGTTTTTAATATGCGCATACAAACTAGATTAGGTTATGCGCATACTAATATAAAAGAATTTATAGTAGACGTACTAGCTAATACCTATATCTTCTTGATAACAGGTAGTACACTAGTTATGTTGAATTTTATAATACCAGTTACATTATTCTGTGAACTGTTGACTATCTTTGAAGTTAATTGCTTTGATTATTTTAATGATAGTTTCTTACTAATGACAGTTCCTAGCTCAATAGCTCCATTTAAAAAAATAAAATCTACAGGTGTATGAAAACATTACTATAAGCCTGAATCTTTAGTTAATGGAAAAACAGTTGTGAATCTATCTGAAAATCTTATTAAAAGATTAACTACTAGTTTCTGAAAGGATATAATGATGAAATTAGATATTAGTCAGTTTGTAGGGATTCTACTTAAAATAGAATTCGTAGGTGGTATCCATAAAACAATTGGAACACTACAGTTTTTAACACCTAAAATATCAAATAAAAAGGTGTGTATTAAAAACTTTATTTTTAAATTAGATTCTAAACAAGATAGTTATCAAGACATACCTATTTTGAACGTGTATATTTCATATAAACTATTTACATTAAATAATGTTGTGTCAATTAATCCCACTGTTGTGGAACCTGTAGATACAAAAATAGCAATGAAAATGCTTCCTACTAGTAGTTATCCTACTACAATGGATCTAGATTTATGGAGATTACCTCTCGAATTTATTAACGATAGTACTGCATATGCTATCGTTAAAAATATTCATTATATATTTAATATTACAACTAAATCAATAGAAGTAACTATCAAAGATATTAAATCTGGTAATATTCTGGATAAATTTACAGATACAATAGAAAGAGATATATTTAGTCAAGGTGGCTTAGATTGTTTCACTAGAATATTCTTTGATACCAATAACAGAGCTACAAAATCATTTAGCTATATAAATGGTAGTCAAGTATTCTATGAAGAATCACCTAATAATAACTTTATTACACCTTTACAAAAAGATGCATTACCTATTGTAGTGCACCCTACGGATATATCTCCAGTGCAAATCTCTCTACAGACAACTAAACCATGATGGTTTAGGGAAAGAGACTCTAAGGGAAGATTCTTAAAAAGAATGTATTCTACTAGTTTTTGACCGTTAGGCAATATAACCCCTTGTCCTTTACCTAAGTCTCTTAAAATGAAAGGTATATTAACATTAGACTACGAAAGTAGGAAAAATCTTATTACTAATGAATTAGAAATAATAAGTTGTGTAATCTACGATGGTAGTAATTATAAATCTTTTTATTTGACAGATTACACTAATTCACAAGAATTAATTATAGCATCTATTCATTATTTACTTAATCCAATTTATAAAGGTTCTAATGTATATATACATAATTTATCTAACTTCGATGGTGTATTTATGTTAAAACATATTGCCTCATTAAAAACTGAAGGTTATAACGTTAATATAATTTATAAAGACGGTAAAATAATTAGCATAAATATTTCTAAAAATGAAGTTATAAATACTAAAAATAAATCTGTAGCTAGTATCAATATTATTGATTCATTATCTTTATTACCTGCATCTTTAGCTAAATTAGCTGTAAGTTTCAATGTAGGTAATAAATTAGATTACGATACATCGTCTCATGACACTGCTGATCTAACAGATAACGATTTTAAAACTAATTTGTTAGAATATAATTCTATGGATTGTAAGTTATTGTATGACATTATCGTTAAATTTAATCAGGAAATAGAATCAATGTTTAACATTACCATCAAAAATACACCTACACTATCTTCTTTAGCCTTTAAAATCTTTAGATCTAACTTCCTAGGTGATACTAAAATACCGATCACTTCTCTAGAAATGTATAGAACTATCTCAGAAGGATATAGAGGTGGAGCTGTAGACGTATATAGACCGTACGGAGAAAACCTGTACTACTATGACGTAAACAGTCTTTACCCGTCAGTAATGTTCAATAAACCTTTTCCTACAGGAAACCATAAATGGTTTTATGGTAATAAAGATTTAAATACTTTATTTGGTATTATCTATGCTGAAATAGAAGCTCCAGTTAATATGTATGCACCTTTCTTATTGACTAAAATAGGAGATACAACCGTAGCTCCAGTAGGTCATTGAGAAGGCTGGTACTGTTCTGAAGAACTAAAAATGGCAGTAAGTTACGGTTATAAAGTAAATGTAATTAAAGGTTATAGATGAGATAGCAAAGATTATATATTCAAAGATTATGTGAATACACTGTACGATTATAGATTGAAATATCCTAAAACAGATATTAGAAATCAAATAAGCAAATTATTGCTTAATAGTTTGTACGGAAGATTCGGTATGTCTCCAGAATTAATTAACTATGAATTTATTAAAGATGATAAATTAGATAGAAAACCTGTAGACTGTATTACATTAAATTCAGAAGGTATCGATATGTATGGTTTTAACTCATTTAAAAATAGACAAATGACTAAAACTGCTAATCCTTTATTGATTTCTACACCCATGGCTATGTTCGTTACAGCATATGCTAGAATGTTTATGGCTCAGTATAAATTAAAATATCAAGATAACTTATATTATACTGATACCGATTCTCTAGTATTAGATTGCCCTTTACCTGAAGCAGTTATTAATAATAAGTTAGGTAACTTTAAACTAGAATACAAAGTAGCTAAAGGAGTATTCCTTGCTGCTAAAACATATTCACTTCTACTTGAAGATGGTTCAGAAGTTACTAAAATTAAAGGGTCTAAAGAAATTGTTAGTTTTAACGAATTAGAAAAATTGTTAGTTGCTAATTCTAAATTAATAATTAAACAACAGAAATTCTTTAAATCTTTAGATAAAGCTACAATCAAAGTATTGGAACAAGCCTATAGCCTTACAGTTACTGGTAACAAAAGGGAATTAGTTTATAAAGATAATAAATTTATAGATACTTTTCCTTTTATTATTTAGTACGTCGTTTGACCCCCTTCTGTAACTATTTTAATTATCAATTAGTTAATTATTATTTATTTATTTATTTATTTATTTATTTATTTATGCATACTACTGTTGAATCTATAAGTAGAGTAATATAATATAATATTTTTATCAATTGCATTTAATTTTCATGTAATAGTTAATTTTTCTTTTTTTCTTTTCTATCTTTTTTATTTTTTATTTTTTATTTTTCTTTTTATTTTATTTTTATTTCTTTCATATTTATTTTTATTAATTTTATTCATTTTGATGATTTTATGGGGAATATATTTTTATTTAAGATTTTTATTTAAATTTATATGCTTGCTGGCCTTATGTTGTATTAATATCATTTGGGGGTATTTATATACACACA